GGGCCAGGCTGAAGCCATGATCCAGGAACTCCAGTTGGGTCTCCCACATGGGGGGCAGGGGCCCTAGTACTTGGGCCATCATCTGCTGACTTCCTAGGCACATTAGCAGGAAGCTGAATTGGAAGTGAAGCAGCAAGGACTCAAATCATTGTTTCTGTGATATGGGACGCTGGTGTTACAGTGGCGGCTTAACCTCCTGCACCACAACCTCGGCCCCTCACCAGCACCTATTTACATGGTGGCTCCAAGAGAGGAAAGGCAGAAGTTCCCAATGCCTATGACTGATACAGTGTACTTTCTCTGCAATCTATTGGTCAAGGTAAGTCAGAGTCCAGCCAGATTCCACTGGAGGGCAAACTGACTCTTCTTGATGGGAGAAGCATCAGGTACATAAAAACATGGAGGAGGGCAATTGTAGGCAGTCTTCTTTATCAACGATCTCTCACCTTCTGGCTCTAACAATTCAGACTCCTTCCAAACCAAAATACATTCATCCCATTCACCAAAAACCTCAAACCATTATGGTACTGGAGCAAAGCCTAGGACCTCACCACCTACATCAGGCCCACGAAAAAGAAGCTTCTAATATGTATTTCATTGCATACAGACGCTCTGGTGCAATTTCTTCAGCCTAGATAGCTAGCAGTGAACTAAACAGACAAGTTACTGCTCCCCCTACTACCCAGTCCCTATCACTACACATCCAATACACTTGACAATGCAGAGACAAAAGGATTCATTGGACACTCTTGTTCACAAAGGAGAACAGAAATCACATTAATGGTCATTGATCAATAGTAATTCTGAAATCTACCTGGACGCCTATTGTCAGATTCTCCTACTCGGAGGACAGGAAATGCTCATGGACTTTTTTGTTCTCTAGGATTGATTTCATAATTCATTTTTTCAGCTTCTTGGTTCTGCCTTCTGGACTCTTGGCTTCACCACAGAGAGAACTTCCTTTTCCATAAGAAAAGCTGAGTCGATTTCTCCACTTAAATTCTGCCCATAGAAAGTTGGAAGCTCAAAGGCCTTTTTTGTTTCAAACTGTCTTTGCCTGCTACAGTCTATGGTTTGTTTTGTCAATTTACTTCCCTTAAAAACTTTGTGGGAGCTTTACGAAACTTACTGGGATTTGCTCAACCGCCCCCAAACCACATAGGCATCCGTCTGTTTTCCACTGAAGCTGGGTAACTGGTAAAGAAAAGAAGTTTATTTACAGTTTTTGGAGGTTCAAGGGCATGATACAGACATCTGCTCAGCTCCAGTGAGGGCTCCCTTGGCTGCATCACACGGCTATGTCATCCTGGTGGAAGGGATGTGGGGCAGCAGGTGGAGCGACCGCCTTTGACACTGAATCCCATATCTGAGTGCCAGTTTCAGACCTGGCTGAACTACTTCTGATCCAGCTCCCTGCTGATGTGCGTGAGAGAGCAGCCCCCACTATTCTGATGGGAAACCCGGATGGAGTTCCTGGATCCTGGCTTCAGCCTTGTCCAGACTTGGCTGTTGTGGCTATTTGGGGAGTGAACCAGTTGATGAAAGATCTCTTTTATCTGTCTCCCTCTTGCTGTCTGTCTCTCTCCCTTTCAAATAAATAAATAAAATTTTTAAAAGAGATCTTTAAAAATCTTTTAAAATAGATTATATGCTGAGACAAGAAATCGGAGAATAAGGAGGGGGGATCAGTCTTCTTTTTTACATAAACCCTATCTTGAGAACTAACAAAGGTTCCTTGAGAACTACATTAATCCCTTTCAAGGATGGTGTCCTCAGTGACCAAACCACCCCCCACTAGGTCCTACCTCTTAAAAAATATTCCACACTACCTCTCCACATCACCAAATGGAAACCAAGTTTCCACTACCTGAACCCTTGGGAGATATTTAAACCATAGCCAAACCTCAGCAACACCCACATTTCTTTCTGAGACGGAAGTCTCTCTCTGTTAGCTTGCTGGGACGCAACGCCTTCATGTTTGTCAGAAGCTCTTCTGTCTTGTCAATGGAGCACTGTTAATCTCCTTATGAAGTCTTATATCTGTACTCCTCATTCGATATTGGCCTTGAGGCCACTTCTTACCTGTAATGGCTTATTTTTTATCTTTGTTCTGAGCCCATTTCTTGTTTTGATGATCTTTTCTAGCGGTGGGCCTGTCTTGGGTCTAGTTTCTGTTTGAAAATGGAATATTTCCTTCTTTAGCTTATTTGTCTTCTGTAATAGCCTGTTTTTCTTTTGTGATTTGTCTTTTGGCAGATTCCATGTCTGACTTCAAGGTGGCATCTTCTTGCTGTGTCCTCTAGAGAGGAAGAACCCTGCACACACACGGTGGAAGGGCCCGAAGGGCAGCAGGGGAGCGGAAACCCCGTGAAGTCTTTTTTAAAAGGGAATGAATCACATTGCCTCCCAAAGACCCATCTCTCTCTTTTTTTCAAAAAAAGATTTATTTATTTGAAAGAGTTACCCAGAGAGAGAGGAGAGAGAGAGAGAGAGAGAGAGAGAGAGAGTCTTCCATCCTCTGATTCACTCCCCAAATGACCACAACAGCCAGAGCTGAGCTAATCTGAAGCCAGGAGCCAGGAGCTTCTTCTAGGTCTCCCACTCAGTTACAGGGGCCCAAGGACTTGGGCCATCTTCTACTGCTTTCCCAGGACACTGCAGAGAGGGTGTCAAACCAGCACCCATATGGGATGCCGACGCTTCAGGCCAGGGCGTTCACCTGCTGCGCCACAATTTTTAAGAACATTACTTTGGGTTTCATTTTCAACATACGAGTTTTGAAAGGGCAAGTACAGGGGCCAGGGCTGTGGTGTAGCTGGTAAAGGCGCCTCCTGCAGTGCAGCATCCCATATGGGCGCCGGTTCAAGTTCAGCTCCTCCACTTCTGATCCAGCTCTCTGCTTTGGCCTGGGAAAGCAGTGGAAGATGGCCCAAGTGCTTAGGACCTCTGCACCTACATGGGAAGACCTGGAAGAAGCTCAAGGCTCCTGGCTTCAGATTGGCGCCACTGCAGCCAACTGAAGAGTGAACCAGCAGATGGAAGACCTCTCTCTCTCTCTGCCTCTCCTTCTCTCTCTGTATAACTCTGACTTTCAAATAAATAAAAATAAATCTTAAGAAAAAGAGTGGACCGGCGCTGTGGTGCAGTGGGTAGTCTTCTGCCTGCGGCATCCCATATGGGTGCCGGTTCAAGTCTTGGCTGTTCCTCTTCAGATCCAGCTCTCTGCTATGGCCTGGGAAAGCAGTAGAAGATGGCCCAAGACTTGGGACCCTGTGCCCACGTAGGAGACCCTGAAAAAGCTCCTGGCTCCTGGCTTCAGATTAGTGCAGCTCTGGCCATTGCAGTCATTTGGGGAGTGAATCAGCAGATGGAAAACCTCTCTCTGTCTCTCCTTCTCTTTCTGTGTAACTCTTTCAAATAAAAAATAAATAAATCTTAAAAAAAAAGAAGAAGTAACTTCTCACCATCCATGTGTATAATGTAGGGATAATTTAAAAAAATAAAAAGGGCAAGTACATTCAAAATGGAGGACTCATATCTGAAACACACACACACACACACACACATATCCATAAGAAAACAGCCACAATTCAGTAACAGAAACTGAGTAAGAGACTTGAACAGGCACTTTACAGAGAGGTTAGCCAGATACCCAAAAACACGAAAATGGGCTCAACCTCATCAGTAACCTGAGAAATACCAATTAAAATCACAGTGAGATACCACCAGATCCCTAACAGAATGGTTGCCACTAAAAAGATGTACAGTAACAACAGTCAGCTAGGAAGCTGTCAATCGAAATCCTTTACTGTGAGAGCAAACTGAAACAACTACCTTTACAATTTTCCGATCTTATCTATTTGCTTTACTTTTGTGAGTATAAAATAAGCAATTTCACTGCTAGGTGTCAACTCAGTTGAAACGTGAGATACCAGCCACAAAAGATAAAAATGTTCACAGATACATGATTCTTAAGAACCCCAAACTGGAAGTAACTCTGTCCATCAACGGATGATTAAACTGCGGTCTATTTACAAGATGGAATGCCATAGGGCCGTCAAAACGACTAAAGGACAGCTTCACCAATCATGGCTCTATCTCCAAAACAAGGTCGAAAGGAAAATAACCCCAAATACTGACTGTGGGCAAGCTGATTAGTTCTTCATTTCCGTCTCGAAGATAAACTTTATACCTTTATAATTTATTAAATTTATACCTTTCAGGATGGAGGTGAAGATTAATGGCAGGAAGTACACTACGGGTTTCACAAGAACGTGGCTTAATCAATGTCAGCTATTATTTATTGTGTTCTCTTAGCAGGCCACCTTTCTGGAAATGACATTAAAGAATGGAGCAGAGCCCTTACTGGTCACCTAAAACCCCCATACCCTCCCCCAAACTCCTTCCTCCAACTTTTCACAACGGCCTCGGCCTCTTTAAGAAGTCAACCATAACTGAGGAAAAGGGCATGCCGGGAAGGTCCACTCAGCTCAGAGCTGGGCCTGACGGGAAAGAAGGGCGGAGCCCAGTGCTGCGCACGCGCACTGGGCCGAATGTTGCGTTTGGATGAGTCCCGCAGAATCCTTGGAAAAGCACCTGGCCGCCGTCTAGCGCGAGGGACCTCGTGTCTCGTTGCCTGATCCGCGGGGGGTGCAACTCCGGGCGCAGGAGACGGAAGGTGGGTGCGTTCCAGCGGCAGCGGGAGGGGCCGCGCCACGTGACGAGGCGGGCGCGGGGCGGGGGCTGCGGGTTGCGGGTTCCGCCGCGGGGACGCGCTGACAGGCGCTTGGCGGGTCCCGCGCGCCGCCTTCGCGAGGCGTGGGAATTCCTGGTGGAACTGGAATGTTGGGGACGCACGCGGTACCCGGGGGGGAGGGACGAGCGCCCGTAGCGTTGCCGTAGCTGCGGCAAGTGGTCAGAAGTTCTCGTGTTCTTCGGAGCGGGCTTCCTGACCGAGTTGTCCGTTTGCGAGCCTGGCTGAACCCTTCTTAGCCTGAGAGCTTGCTTCTGGCCTCGTGCGTCGCGGTCCCGCTGGGTCCCTGTACAGCCGGGGGAAGCGGCATCTGCGGAGTGGCCGCTGGCGTTGGTTGTTTGCGGGAAGACGGCCGTCCGGACGCGCTGGCCTGACCCCCGCTGGTGACCCTGGAAGGTGCGGGTGGTGCCCGCCGGGGGAGTGTGGGCGCACCTTCTGGCGCCCTGCGGCTGCATCTCGAGCGCTGGGCTCGCCTTGGGCCGAGAAACGGAGCCCTTGGGGAGGCGTCCGGTAAAGGCTGAGTCATAGGTGCGGGTCGGGAGGCTGGCGCGTCCCGCGGTGGGACAGGGGAGCCGACGGGGGGCTTCCACCGCCTGGTTCCCGCGGGATAGGAACCAGCGCTCGAATCCGCCCCTTGCACAGCTTGGTCACTTCCTCCAGGTCGGCTGGCGTAATGCCCGTCAGCAGCCTTCCCTCCATATGAGGGGACCTCGGAGAGTTCACGGGGCATGGAATGGCCAAGTTCATGTGGGTGTGCTCCTTCCGTGAAACCCGTGCGTAATTATCCCCTAACACCCATTTCCCAGGAATCAGGGAGACCCCTTGGAGAAGGTGCACAGGGTGTTCGACTTCAGAGATGTTTGGGAAACGGGAGCCACTGCCCGCTGAAAGCAGGAGGAAGCAGTAGTTAGTCATCTTCCCACAAGAGTTGTTTTCCGAATGCTCAACCCTGGAGCCTCCTAGCAAAGATCCACGTGAAGGGGAACAGTGACAGCAACAGGAGAATCAACCTGAGTCTTGGTCCTTTGTGTTGTGTTTTAGGCGTCCACAGTGCCCAGTCTCAAGGAGACTATTAGTTTTTTGACTGGTGAATGTGGCTGAAAGCTTAGAATGAAAGAACCTTTGGACGTTGGATGGGACAAAGCAATGGCACCACAGCAGGGGCTTTTGGACAAAGTTAAAGAAGAACCTGACGATGCACAAGTAAGGATTTCGTGTTGATTTAGAAAGGGTTTTTTAAAAATTCCTCCCACCTGATGGTTGAAACTTCTTTACTTAGGCAGTGATTGGTTTGGAAGTGAAAGCAAGCCCGAGTGTGTTTTCCCCATTCGGTAGATGTTATGGTTTGAATGTGGAACCTTTTAATTCCCAACGCAGGATTGTCGAGAAGTGGTACCTAACAAGTGGTTAGGTCAGGAGTGCTCGGCCTTCACCAGTGGACTAATGTTGTTATCTCGGAAGTGGGTTAGTGCGCTTTTATAAAAGCTAGTTCAGCCGCCTCTTGGACACATGCACCTGCTCCCTCTCACTCTTCTTATGCAGCAAGAATGTCCTCAGCCCATGTGGTCCCTTGACCTTGGCCTAGAACTGGAAGAGATAAATTTCTGTTTCTTGTAAATTATCTGGGTTGTGATGTTCTGTTATAGCAACACATATGGACTAAGACAATGCATAAACAAGTTTCCTGTTCTTTGAATGAAAGAAGTTCTTAATAACTGTGTTTTCTTGAAAAGAATGTAATATGTATTACCATTTTTTCATAGATAATTCTGTTGTCTGTGATAGTTGTTTTATGCCAGACTCTGGGGGTCCAGGACTGAGCTGTCAGCTATGTCCCTTTTCTTAGAGCTTCTAGGATGGTAAAGAAGACAGAGGTACTGGGGCCCTGGTCTGCAGTGCTGGCATCCCATATGAGTGCTGGTTTCAGTCCTGGCTGCTCCACTTCCCATCCAGCTCTTCTCTGTGGCCTGGGAAAGCAGTTGAGGATGGCCTAAGTGCTTGGGCCCCTGTACCCATGCAGGACACCTGGAAGAAGCTCCAGGATCCTGGCTTCAGAATGGCCCAGCTCCAGTTGTTATGGCCATTTGGGGAGTGAACGAGTGGATGGAAGACCTCTCTCTTTCTCTCTCTCCCTGCCTCTCTCTCTCTGTAACTCTACCTTTTCAATAAATAAATAAATCTTAAAAAAAAAAAAAAAGACCGAGATTACACAAGTAGTTGATCAGGTAGTATACAGAGTCACACAGGGAGTGATTGGTTAGTGTTTAAGATGCCCCGCATCCCAGAGTACCTAGGTTTGATTCCCAGCTCTGGCCCCTGACTCCAGCTTCCTGCTAATGCATACCCTGAAAGGTAATGACCGAAGTAATTGGGTTCCTGCCACCCACATAGGCAGCGTGGACTGAATTCTTGGCTCCTGGCTGTAGCCTGACTCAGCCTTGGCCAGTGTAGGCCTTTCAGTAGTGACCTAGCAGATGGAAGCTCACCCTCTCTTTATACACACACACACACACACACACACACACACATGTAAAGATGTATATAAACTATGAAAAGTTCTTTGACCTAGTTTGGACTGGGGGCAGAGTGGCTAGGGAAGGAGTTGTAAGCTGAATTATGACAGTGAATCAACTGTGCAAAGGGATTAGAGGAGAGTAATGTAGACGCAGGAAAGTACCCATAGGAGAGGCCCGAGTTGGAAGGAGGCATAGTTACTTGAAGAATGCTAAGACCTGTGGCCCTGGCATAGAAGAGGCATGAAAGGGGTGATGACAGTGATGATAACTGTAGTAGCTACAGGACATCTAGTATATTATAGTAGCATACGATGTTATTAACTAATTACTGCTAGTTATGCAGCTTTGTTTTACAGATGAAAAAACCAGTGCACAAAAAGGCCAAGGAGTTTACCGTAGGTCACAACAAATGGCAAAGCCTGGATTCAGATCCAGGCAGTGAGACTCCAGAGCCCATGCTGTCCTCTTGTAAGTCTCTACGTGTGGTTTGGGGCCAGGTTATGTAGGTCATCGTGGGCCTTGTCGGGTCGTAAGTGGGTCAGTAGGATGAAGTAGATTAGCATTTGGGAAGAGCCTTCTGGCTTCCCCCTAGAAACCAAGATTAGAAGTCCAAGGTTCAATGTGGAGAGACCAGTTAGTTATTTTGGCAAGAATTTTTCCTTCTTTTTAGACAATCTCTTCAGCTTTGTATCTATGGTTATTGACTTTGTTGTATAAGTAAAGCGATCACATTTAAAATAGTAAATAATGTAAACAGCAGAATAATAAAATAATAAAAGTAGTATTTAATTTCTCACACCATCTCACCGGCAGTGTCATTTGGGATAGGGATGTGAAGTGGGTTGCAGCTCACCCGGGAACTCCAGACCTTCCTAGCCTGCTGGGCTGAGGGGCTGGTGGAAGGGATGTGGCATCCAGGACACTTAGGTCCCATACACATGGAACATTCTTCTTCTGCCAAAAGGAACCTTTCTTTTGCTCGGTTTTGCAGTTTCTACCTTTTAGGTATTTTTTCAATCTGTTCCTTCCTTTTCCTCCCTGATTTCATTGTTTCTCATCTGGACTTTTCTAAGTTTCTAGCTGTTCTTCGGTCACATAGTCCACCGAAGCACTGTACTGCAGAGCAGGTGCTGCCACTCCTTGTAAAGACCCCGCCTCCTGCGGAATGAGGCTCACACCTGTTGGTGCGATGTCATTGCTCCCTCTCACTCTCGTCGCTCACCCTTCCCACCACTGCTAGTCTTTGTAGACTTTTTGCACTTTTTTTTTTTTTTTTTTTGACAGGCAGAGTGGACAGTGAGAGAGAGAGAGAGAGAGAAAGGTCTTCCTTTTGCCGTTGGTTCACCCTCCAATGGCCGCCGCGGCTGGCACGCTGCGGCCGGCGCACCGCGCTGATCCGATGGCAGGAGCCAGGAGCCAGGTGCTTTTCCTGGTCTCCCATGGGGTGCAGGGCCCAAGCACCTGGGCCATCCTCCACTGCACTCCCGGGCCACAGCAGAGAGCTGGCCTGGAAGAGGGGCAGCCGGGACAGAATCCGGCGCCCCAACCGGGACTAGAACCCGGTGTGCCGGCGCCGCTAGGCAGAGGATTAGCCTAGTGAGCCGCGGCGCCGGCCGACTTTTTGCACTTTAAAGGTGTATTTTGTTGAGTTTTATTTCCTTGCCTTTTGCACAGGCAGGAGAAAAGTAAACTAGGTTCCCTGGCAAAAATACGCTCCTCTTGTAAGATAGTTTAACTGTCATTCAGTGTTGTCATTAATCATTTTCTTTTTCTCTATTGTATTCACTTTTTTATGCTATCTAATAGTTCAGTGAATTATTTTATATATATATATTTTAAAGATTTATTTATTTATTTGAATGTCAGAGTTACACGGAGAGAAAGAGAGGCAGAGAGAGAGAGAGAGGTCTTCCATCCATTAGTTCACTCCTTAATTGGCTGCAATGGCTGGAGCTGTGCCGATCCGAAGCCAGGAGCCAGGAGCTTCTTCCAGGTCTCCTTTGCGGGTGCAGGGACCCAAGGACCTGGGCCATCTTGTACTGCTTTCCCAGGCTGTGGCAGAGAGCTGGATCGGAAGTGGAGCAGCCGGGACTCAAACCGGTGCCCATATGGAATGCCGGCACTGCAGGCGATGGCTTTACCCACTATACCACAGGGCTGGCCCCTATTGTATATATTTTTTAAGATTGATTTATTTTGAAGTGAGAGTTACAAAGAAAGTGATTCACTCCCCAAGTGGCCCAAATGGCCAGGACTGGACCAGGCCAAAGCCAGGAACCAGGAACTTTATCCACCCACATCTCTCACATGGGTGGCAAGGGCCCAAGCACTTGGGCCATATTCCACTGCTTTTCCCAAGTCATTATCAGGGAGCTAGATTAGAAGTGGAGCAGCCAGGGCATGAATTGGCACTCATAAGAGATGCCAGTATTGTAAACAGTGGCTTTAGGCACTATGCTACAATATTGACTCTCAATTTTGTTATTTTTAAAAAAATTTTATTTTTTATTTGAGAGGCATGAAGAGAGAGAGACTGCTTCACTCCCCAAATGTCTCTAACAACCAGGGCTGGTCCAGGCCAAAACCAGGAGTCAGGAATTCAATTTGGATTTTCCCATGTGGGTGGCATGGACCCAGCCACCTGAGCCATCACCTGCTACCTCCTATTGTGGGAACAGAGTTGGCACTTGGATTCAGGTACTGCAGTATGGAATGCAGGCGCCTCAACCAGTGTCTTAACTGTTACACCAAATGCCTGTGCCTGAATTTTGTTTTTATATTGATCATACTAATGCTTCCATTCCCTCATCTTCCCTGCATCCACATTCACACTCCAGACTGCACTGTCTTTGAAGCCAGAAATGGTTCTTGTTGGACCTGAATCCCCAATTCCAAGCACAGTGTCTAGTCCAGAGTACATGGTCAGTAATTGGGAAAAAGAGCTTTTGTGTCACAGATGAGGAAACTGAGTGGTAGAAATAGGTGGCTCCACCAGTATTCCATGCTATGTGGCTGGGGTGCAAACTGGGGTGGTGGTGGTGGTGTTTTTTTTTTTCCCAAACCCAATAGTTCTTTTGTTATACCTTGCCTGTATTCCACAAACTTAACAAGTACAGTACTATAAATTAAGTAAGTGTTGTTTCTGAATATAACAACATAGGTTGTGAATTTAAGTGGATGGGGATCTCCTTGATTCTATTTGGTTTATATTTTTTCATGATTGAGGATGTGAACCTTGGTAGAAACCACTTGAGCACATTGTGTGTGCTATTTTCCATATTGCATGGATGAAACTCACAAATAGAAAATAAGAGCCAATAAATTAAAATGTTTATAGCTTCTGTGCCCTGAGACTCTGTTCTGGATATTAAAGTCACAGCTGAGCTGTCCTCCACTCATTCAGTGAGTTGTTATTCCGTTTACTGTAGTTCCCAATCCTTGAACACTGTGTGTAAGCAGTTCATGTAAATTAGTCCATTTGATGTTGGAAACCCTGTGTTAGATGTTATTTTTATTCCTATCTTACACACAAGGAAGCTGAGTCACAGGTGGTAACCTGTTGAAGGTCACATGGTACAGGAGCCTGTCTTAGTCTTTTTAACAGAGTACCTGGGGCTGGGGGATTGATAAAAAAAGAGGTTTATTTGGCTCTTGGTTCTGAGGCTGGGAAGCCCAGGAGCTTGGTGCAGGCATCTGCTTGGCTTCTGGTTAGGGCATCATGGCCGAAAAGCAGACGGGAAACGAGTGTGGTGGAGACAAAGCATGAGGGTGGCCCAGCTGGGTAAGAACCGGTTCTCTGGGTGACTAATCCAGTTATCTGAGAAAGGCATGCATCTCTCTCACAGCCTACTCGCCTCTTAAAGGTCCCACCACCACTCAACCCTGTATTAATGGGTTGAAGCAGCAGGAGCAGAAGACAGTGGGATCATTGGCAGCACCCTATGTGTCAGAGGTCATGCAGGGTACAAGCCTAGAAGTGGTCGTGGGATTAGGCAATTGTGGGATGATTGTTTCTGTTAAACCTTGTTTGTGTTGAAGCAGTGGCCTGAATGCACTGGATTCAGAAGGGAGGGAATCTAAGTGAGGAAGCAGAGAAAGAGCCAAGTACTTTCCCTGTAAGTTTGGCTAAGAAGGGAGGGCAGAGAGCAGTGCTTCCTAAGGGAACAGACTGAAAGAGGAGGGGAAGAAACCAGTGTGGAGGTGGAGAGAGGGAGGCTGAAGACTAAGCAAGATAGTGTGCTGGGAGAGGGAGAGGGAAAGCACTCAGGGCCCAGGCTCTGGTAGCAGTGCTTAAGAAAGTTGCCTTCTCCCATAAGAGGCCAGTTTGCTGGTGAATTTGTAGGGATGACGGAGGGGGAAATCAGAATGTTGAAAGAGATCTTGTTTTATATGAAATCCATAGGTAATTAGGAAGTATGTGGGGTTGGGATTTGTGAGTGATGATGTTTAGATGAGTTACTTTGTGAAGTAAAAGAAGCCAGGAAAATACAACAGGAAAACAGACAGAAATATTAGGGAGTCAGTTGATAAGGCAGTCATTTTTAATGAAATCCAGAGCTTTCTTTTTGGTGAATTGAAGAATAAAGTTCTTTTAACTTCCTCCTCTTTGTAAATTGTAATAAGTAAATATTGTTTAAATGTAAACTAGTGTTTAAAAACATCTACGTTGGATTGAAGGGACTTGGATCTGTTCATTCAACAAATATTTATTAAATGTTGTAATTACAAAGTATAAAATCTAGATTTTTGTGTGCATATCCTACATGCTTTTGGCTAACTGGAGGGCATCATACTGCCTGCTTTATTTGTATTAAATTGTCTATCCCCCTGGAATGGACTCTGGGCTAAGTAATATCTTTATCTTTATTTACAGATAAAGAAATTGAAACCAAAAAAGACTTTTAAAATTATTTATGTATTTTTAATTTTATTTATTTATTTATTTATTTATTTTTGATAGAGTGGATAGTGAGAGAGAGAGACAGAGAGAAAGGTCTTCCTTTTGCCATTGGTTCACCCTCCAATGGCTGCCACGGCTGGTGCGCTGCGGCCGGCGCACTGCGCTGATCCGAAGGCAGGAGCCAGGTACTTATCCTGGTCTCCCATGGGGTGCAGGGCCCAAGCACTTGGGCCGTCCTCCACTGCACTCCCGGGCCACAGCAGAGAGCTGGCCTGGAAGAGGGGCAACCGGGACAGAATCCAGAGCCCCGACCGGGACTAGAGCCCGGTGTGCCGGCACCGCTAGGTGGAGGATTAGTCTATTGAGCCGTGGCGCTGGCATTTTTAATTTTATTTTAAAGAGAGATAGAAAGAGAGAGGTCTTCCATCAGCTGGTTTGCTTCCCAAGTGCCCACAACAGCCAGGGCTGGACCAGGCTGAAGCCAGGAGCTTGGAACCCAATCTGGGTCTTCCATGTGGACTGCAGGGCTCCTAGTACTTGAGCCTTCACCTGCTGCCTCCCGGGGTGCCCATTAGCAGGAAGCCAGGTGGAAGCAGAGGAGCCAGGCCTTGAATGGTGTACTTCCAACCTGGCATGCGGATGTCCCTGGTGGTGTCCCTGCACCAGACACCTGCTCCCAAGAAAGATGAGATAACGTAAAGCCAGAGTCACATCTGTTTCTGTTTACTCTTGGAACCCATAGCCTTTTCTGTTGTGTTGTGTGATGGTGCTGGGCATTGGGTATGCAGAAGTGAAAAACAGATAAAGAGCCTGTACATGGTAGACATGGTCCTTTCAGTCTCTAGTCTTCGTATGGTGGAGGGGCCTCAGGAGGAGGGTCTTAGGCATTAGTCAGATTATTACCCAAATATGAAATGATGTTATGACTGGTGTTACGAGAGAAAGGAAATGGGAGAGACTACAATAGGGGAACTTAATGTCAGTTGCAAGATAGGTAGCAGTTATGTGATATTTGATATCTATGAGGGGCACAGCATGGATTTTGGAACTAAGAGCCTGGGGTTTGGTGCTCATCTGTGCAAATAGTATATTTGTGATCTTGGACAAGTTGCCGCACATCTCTAAGCTGTATGTTCCTCATCTGTATAGATGATATTCCTATCCTAGGTGCCATATTACCCATCGTAGGAAGTGGTGAATTAATGCAGTGGTTCCTAGTCTCTGGCATTCAGTAGTTAATAACTTTTTTTTCCCCAAGGATTTTATTTATTTATTTGAGAGGTAGAGTTATAGACAGTGAGTGGGAGAGAAAGAGAAAGGTCTTCTGTCTGTTGGTTCACTCTCCAAATGGCCGCAATGGCCGGAGCCATGCCAATCCAAAGCCAGGAGCCAGGTGCCTCCTCCTGGTCTCCCATGTGGGTGCAGGGCCCCAAGGACTTGGGCTATCTTCTGCTGCTTTCCCAGGCCACAGCAGAGAGCTGGATTGGAAGAGGAGCAGCCGGGACTAGAATTGGTGCCCATATGGGATGCCGGCGCTGCAGGCGGAGGATTAACCTACTGTGCCACAGCACTGGCCCCCGTCCATAACTTTGAAAGTGACATAGCCAGTCATTAATTTTGCTAAGTGTAGGGAGATTGAAGATACAACTATCATTGATTATTACCATTGTTTCAGAAAAGGCTACTTTTAAAAAATTTTCTGTTTTGAAATATGTAAGGCTATTTTAACACACATATAAAAAGAATATAAGGTTGTATTCTCAGAATAAATGAATAAAAGATAGCTGTTTTCAAGATAGGTATATATGATTTAATTTTTTTAATTAGAAAAAATTTTAAAAGATTTATTTCTTTATTTGAAAGGTGTAGTTAGAGAGAGAGAGAGAGAGATCATCTATCTGCTGATTCATTCCTCAAATGGCCACAATGATTGGGCTGGACCAGGCCAAAGCCAGAGGCCAGAAATTCCACCCAGGTCTTCTGGGTGGGTAGCAGGGCCCTGAGCACCTGGGCCATCTTCAGCAGCTTTCCTAGGCACATTAGCAGGGAGCTGGATCAGAAGTGGAGCACCTGGGACTCAAACCCAATAATCTTTTTTTTTTTTTTTTTTAAGATTTGTTTATTTATTTGAAAGTGTTACAGAGGGAAGGAGGGAAGGAGAGAGGAGAGAGATCTTTATTCACTGGTTCATTCCCCAAATGGCCATAGCAACCAGGGCTGTGCCAAGAAGCCAGGAGCCAGGAACAAAGCCAGGAGCGTCATCTTGGTCTCCCACACTGGTGCAGGGGTCCAAGCAGTTGGACCATCCTCCACTGCTTTCCCAGGTACATTAACAGGGAGCTGGATCAGTTGTAGAGCAGATGGGACTCAAGTCAGCACCCATGTGGGATGCCAGCGCTGCAGATAGCAGCTTAACAGTGCCACCCCCTGCCCCAATGATTTCATTTCATCTTTTAATTAATTAATTTTCCAAAAGATTTATTTATTTATTTGAAAGGCAGAGTTACAGTCAGGTGAATAAGGGTGGAGGTTGGGAAAAAAAAAAAAAGGCAGAGTTACAGAGAGGCAGAGGCAGAGAGAGGGAGAGAGATTTTCTGTTTGCTGGTTCACTCCCCAAATGGTCACAATGACCAGAGCTGTGCCGATCCGGAGCCAGGAGCCAGGAGCCAGGAGCTTCTTCCAGGTCTCCACATAGGGTGCAGGGACCTAAGCACTTGGTCCCTCTTCCACTGCTTTCCCAGGCCACAACAGAGAGCTGGATCAGAAGTGGAGCCGCTGGGACTTGAACTGGCGCCCATATGGGATGCCGGCACTGCAGATGGCAGCTTCACTTGCTATGGCACAGTACCTCTCCACCAATGATTTTAAAAACTAGTTTTGTGGTTACATTAATTTTAAAGCATTTTAAAGAGTGTATTAAGGATAAAGCTGACTCAGGCTATCATGATTTTATGTATAAAGAGAAGATTGCATTGAAACTCTTGTTGTATCTTTTCTGCTACTGACAGATATGACTGTTGGTAAGTCTGTTGTCTAAAATTATGAATTTAGATCCAGACTCTAAATCATTCGGCTTTAATTGCACTCTTGTAAATAAAAATTGCCTCAAAAACGGGTAGTGCTCAGAATTGACATAGTTATGTATTACTCCCGTGTATCAACACTGCATTTGAAAAGCAGAGACAGCTATTATAAATGGATCTCCAATTCTGAAAGATTGTCTTTGCTAAGATGAAATCCAGTCTAATAATTTGCACGTTTTGACTTCTGTGGTATTTGTGAATGTGATTATGATTAGAATGTGTAAGAGATGAAAAGATAGAATCATTTTTTGCTTGAATTTCTGTTTTACTAGACATGTTATAATAATTTCTCTCTCTCCTTCTCTCTTTTTAAAGGATTATGGACATACCCAACAGCCAAAAACTGAAGAAAGTGAACTGAAAATTAGTGCTGTGTTTTCAGTTAGTGACAGTCCTCTTGGTAAGAATGGAACTATGTGAGTTCATGGCGGTTAGTGTGTGTTGGTGCTGACCATTAGAATTGAGAGCACCACCGTGTGTCCTTCCCTCCCTAACGTTAGAGCAGCTAGTCTTCACCAGTATTTAAAAAAATAAAACAGATTCAGATTATGTCAGAGTTGGATGCACATAGTAAGGAATTGTATTGTTTCATAAAATTTCTATTTTAGGCATTCGGTTACACACATGCACAAATGTGTGCATGTGAGAGAAGCAGGTTGTAATGTAAAAGGTAGTTTTTACCATGAGTCAGGACCAAAGAAGTTTGAAGTCCTCTGTTTCAGTAGCTTATTTCCTTATTCATGTGGAGAATTTTTCCAAGAAGGAGAAAGTGTGTGTGTTAGCGTTGACACTAACACTGTTCTGTTCCTGTTTTGGCAGCTCAACAGTTCACCCCAGGCTTTCAGCTGCCTCTTGCAACTCCTGGCCCCAAAATGTTGCTTCCTGTGGTTCCAGCCATACCTCTTCAGGTTTTTTGTTCTGGTTGTAAAAAAATGCTTTATAAGGGGCAGACTGCCTATCACAAGACAGGATCTACTCAGCTCTTCTGTTCCACGCGCTGCATCTCCAGAAATCCTTCACCTGTCTGCCAGCCGCCGCCTGTTCCCAGGAAAACCTGCACAAACTGTTCGAAGTATAAAATTCTTCATAACATCCCTTGTTACTGTCTATTTTTTTTAGTATGCATGGTTCAGATGTGTTATTGCTACCTTAAATCTGTTTTGCACATTACAATAGAAATAGCTTTCTAGCTGCTGGAGGCATTTGCGGGATACCACAGTTTTGCAATGTTGAATAAGTGACTTTGTATTGGAAGTATTGCCTAGACTAGATTTCACTGTCTTCCACTTGTGGAGAGAGAGGGAGAGAGGGGGAAAGGGAGAGAGAGATGGATCTTCCACCTGCTGGTTTACTCCCTAAATGACTGTAATAGCTGGGGCTGTGCCATGCCAAAGCCAGGAGTGAGGAATTCCATCTAGGTCACCTAGGTGAGTGGTGGGTACTCAAGGACTTGAGCCATCATCTGCTGTTTTCCAGGTGTGTTAGCAGGGAGTTCGATCCAAAGTGGAGCAGCCAGAACCGTAATGGGATGTGGGCATCCCTAGTGGCAGCTTAATCCACTGTGCCACAATGCCAGCTCAAGCCATTTTTTTTTTTTTTTTAATCTCTAGTATACTGGCGTAAGTTCTCTAAAAGTAGATGGTGCTGAAATGGAATTCACCATCTAAGGAGAGAAGAATTTCTAAATGTTTTACTTAAAATTTAGTTTTGTTCTAAAAACACTTCTAGTGCCTTAACTTTATATTTTCTAATCAAACCAATCTGAAAGAATGAATTTAGTTTTTTGTTTCTGGATGTCTGTTATCCAAGTGTCTACAGTGTTATTTCCTTAAAATTAATCACCCTTGTCAGTAGCTTTTTTTAAAAAATATTTATTTACTTATTTATTTGAGAGGTAGAGTTACAGACAATGAGAGAGGGAGAGACAGAGAGGTCTTCTATCTGCTGATTCACTCCCCAACTGGCTGCAACAGCTAGAGCTGAGCTATTCTGAAACCAGGAGTCAAGAGCTTCTTCTGGGTCTCCCGTGTGGGTGCAGGGCCCAAGCCCTTGGGCCATCTTCCACTGCTTTCTTGGGCCATTAGTAGAGAGCTGGATTGGAAGAGGTGCAGCCGGGACATGAACCAAATGAACCGGTGCCCATATGTGATGGTGGTGCCGCAGGCGGAGGCTAAACTTACTGTACTACAGTGCTGGCCACTTAAATAACATTCTTTGTTGCTGTGATTTTAGGGAAAAGTCTCTTTACAGAATTAATACTTCATTGATGTGAAGCATATCCACTTGGCTTCCAAGATGCACCGTCATGTTTGTAATGTTAGCTTAGTTGTAGAAAATTAAAATACTTTCTGTTACTGTTCTTCCATGGTTTACTGTGGACCAGCCCTGTATGATGAAGAGACTGGGTGGGAGGCAGGAGAGTGGCGTGATTTCCTGCAGCCTCCCTAGATGTGTTTTCTGGCTGCACTGCCAGACTGCACTGTGACTCTGACTAGCCGTTTAATGTCTGATTTGGTCTCCTCATCTGTGAAGTGGTTGTTTGAATAATGCTCGCCTCATAGTGTTTTGTGATAAATTGGGTGTTTTGAGTAAAGAACACTGTGTGGCACACAGGCTTACTGAAGTGGGTAGCATTATTACCGTTTTCTTCTCTACTTTGTAGCCTGCTCTGATGTTTCTAATCACTGACTTTGTTTTACGCTTGGCAGTGCTCAGCCTCTGATTTACCAGGATGTCGCCATCAGTGTTGCTTGCAATAATCAGCCCTTCTAGAATGGCTTCAGAAAGCTGCCAGCACTATTTAGTAATCTGTATTCTTCCTGTCCCATTCTTATTTCCATCTGTCCTCTGATAAAGTCTTAACAGCCCTTTTATCATCTATATCTTTGGTCTTTTCAGTTATAGCTAGTTTTATAAATCATGCTAATTTTTTTTAAAAAGATTTATTTATTTGAAAGGCAGTTACAGAGAGAATGATAAAGCAAGAAAGCGTGATCTTCCATCTGCTGCTTCACTCCCCAAGTGACCACAACAGCCAGGGCTGGGCCGATCTGAAGCTAGGAGCTAGGAGCTTCTTCTGAGTCTCTCGTGTGGGTGCAGGGGCCCAAGGATGTGGACCATCTTCCACTGCTTTCCCCTGGCACATGAACAGGGAGCTGGATCAGAAGTAGAGCAGTCGGGACTTGAACCAATGTCCATATGGGATTCAGGTAGTGGCTCCACCTGCTACACCACAGCACTAACCCCAATTAATTTTTTTTATTAATCTTTAGTATTTCACCTGTTTCCCAAAATCTTGCACTTATAATTTTTTAAAAGTTTTTTTTTTTTTTTGGACAGGCAGAGTTAGACAGTGAGAGAGAGAGAGACAGAAAGAAAGGTCTTCCTTCCGTTGGTTCACTCCCCAAATGGTTGTTACAGCCGGCGTGCTGCGCTGATCCGAAGCCAGGAGTCAGGTGCTTCCTCCTGGTCTCCCACGCGGGTGCAGGGCCCAAGCACTTGGGCCATCCTCCACTGCCCTCCTGGGCCACAGCAGAGAGCTGGACTGGAAGAGGAGCAACCGGGACAGAATCCGGTGCCCCAGCCGGGACTAGAACCTGGTGTGCCGGTGCCACAGGCAGAGGATTAGCCTAGTGAGCCGTGGTGCCAGCCAATTTTTTAAAAGTTTTAACAGGCCAGTGCTGTGGCGTAGCAGGTAAAGCCACCACCTACAGTGCCAGCATCCATATGGGTGCTGGTTCAAGTCCTGGCTGCTCCACTTCCTATCCAGCTCTCTGCTGTGGCCTGGGAAAGCAGTAGAAGATGACCCAAGTCCTTGGGCCCCTGCACCCATGTGGGAGACCCAGAAGAAGCTCCTGGTTCCTTGGATTGGTGCAGCTCTAGCTGTTGTGGCCAATTGGGGTGTGAACCATTGGATGGAAGGCCTCTCTCTCTCTCTTTCTGTCTCTGCCTCTCTGTAACTGCCTTTCAAATAAATAAATAAATCGTTAAAAAAAGTTTTAACAAATATTTATGTTTTTGTTTTGAAAGGCAGAGTTACAGAGAGGAGGGAGGGAGGAAGAGAGGAGAGAGAGAGAGAGAGAGAGAGACACTTCTATCTTTGGTTCACTCCCCAAAGGGCCCCAATAGCAGGAGCTGGGCCAGGCTGAAGCTAGGAATCCAGAACTCCATCCAGGTCTCCCACATGGGTGGCAGGGGCCCAAGTACTTGGTCCATTTTCTGCTGTCTTCCCAGGCACATTAGCAGGAAGCTATATTGTAAGCAGAGCAGCTAGGACTTGAACTGGTACTATTATGGGGTGCTGGTGTTGCAGGCAGTAGGTTAACCCAGTGTACCACAATGCTGACCCCTCATTTTTAACTTTTAGGTTTCTTTCTTTTTTTTTTTTTAGAGATTTATGTATTTTTTTGAAAGAGTTACACAGAGAGAGGAGAGGCAGAGAGAGAGAGAGAGGTCGTCCATCTGCTGGTTCACTCCCCAGTTGGCCGCGACGGCTAGAGCTGTGTCGATCCAAAGCCAGGAGCTTCTTCTGGGTCTCCCATGTGGGTGCAGGGGCCCAAGGACTTTCCCAGGCCATAGCAGAGAGCTGAAACGGAAGTGCAGCAGCTGGGACTCGAACCAGCACCCATATGGGATACCGGCACTGCATGCGGAGGCTTTACCCGCTATGGCACAGCACTGGCCCCTAGGCTTTTTTTTTTTTTCTAAGAATTATTTGTTTATTTGAAAGGCAGAGTTACAGAGAGGCAGAGAGAGAGAGAGAGAGAGAGATATCTTCCATCCACTGGTTCACTCCCCAAATGGCCACAACAGCTGGAGCTGGGCTGATCCAACTCCTCCTGGTCTCCCATATGGATGTAGGGGCCCAAGGTCTTGGGCTGTCTTTTGTTGTTTTCCCAGGCATATTACCAGGGAGCTGGATCAGAAGTGGAGCATCTGGAACTTGAACTGGTGCCCATAAAGGATGCTAGCAGTGCAAGCGCCAGCCTCACCTGCTACACCACAGCGCTGGCCCCAAGTTTTAGACTTCCACATTTCTACTCTTGGCAGCTGCTGGCTGGGAAGAGGACAAGTATCTTGTGGTCTGTGGTTATGGCATGGCCACTGTATCTAGAGCTGTTGGCCCCAGTGGATGAAACTTGGGTGGAGCCAGAAGCCTCACTGTTTTTGTCATGAGCATCTGGCTGGCTGTATTTTCAACATAATTTTTCCTCAACACATGCCTGAATTAGATATTATTTACACATTTTATCCAGGAGAAAATTGACATGGTTGTTGCCTGCCTCACGTTCTGATGAGTGAGAAAACCAGTCCTCAAGCCAGGTTTGCAAATGCCTCACCCCAGCCTCTGTGTCTCAGGCAGGCGTTCCCCCTGGTAAACGTGCCTGCGGCTCCCAAAGAGGAAAAAGGTACATTTGGGAGGAACACGGTTTATTTTGCCTTTCTGATTTGTTTTTAGAGACATTGTGAATCCAAAGACTGTGGTTACCACTCAGTTTGAGAATTCTACTCCCAGCAAAGATTTCTGCAGCCAATCCTGCCTGTCTTCTTATGAGCTCAAGAAGAAACCTGTCGTTACCATCTACACCAACAGCGTTTCCACTCAGTGCAGTATGTGTCAGAAGAATGCTGATGTAAGTTACATTTCATCTTTATTGGGGTTCTGCTCAAAGACTGGAGACTTTGTTTTTTAAAATGACTCCTGATTGTGGATGTGTGTGTGTTTATCTCCTAGATTCGATTTGAAGTTAAATTTCAAAACGTGGTACACGGTCTTTGTAGTGATGCGTGTTTTTCAAAATTTCACTCTACCAACAACCTCACCATGAACTGTTGTGAGAACTGTGGGAGCTACTGCTATAGTAGCTCTGGCCCTTACCAGTCCCAGAAGGTTTTTAGTTCAACAAGTGTCACGGCATACAAACAGGTATGGATATCAGTCTATCGCATTTGTTGAGGCTCCCTCCTACTGAGTCAGTTGCACAGGCCCGAGCTGTGAAATGAAAGAGAGTTTCTCCCTTTAGTTCATCCTGGTATGTGATTTTCTCCCCGGGAAAATGGGGTAGATTCTGATACTGTGAGAGATGATTGTAGGGAGGCGAAGCAGGTGAACTTGGGTGGCCTTTGGAGATTCCTTTCATGGCTAAAAATTCCTACTTATTACTTCAAGATTTGCTGTAGAATATTTTGTGACATTCTGATCGTGAAGAAAACTCCGTATTGTACGCACTACAAGAAAGAATTAAAACTTGATACAATTAGTGACTCTAAGGGAAAGCAATTTTTTTCATTTTGAAAGTATCCTGGGATGAATTATTATTTTGACAACAATGCCTTGTTGAAATACTAACTTATTTATTATAATGAATAAAAATGGATTAATCTGGTTACTAAATAAAACTTTAATTACTGAATGATTTCAAGTTAAAAAGTTATTTTTCTTAAAAATTGAGGTACATGAGAATTAAGCATTTTTTCAGTAAGCAGCTTTGGTTTGTTATTTCCTCTGAACAGTCTGATAATTGACATTCCTCGTTGAAAAGCATCGCTTCTGGGAGTTGTGCTTTTGTTTTTGCTTTCATAGGAAAAGACTTTGCTGTTTTATATAAAGGTACTTCAGAAAGTTCCTGGAAAATGGGATTAAATGGTGTTTACTTTTGGGCAGAAAAATTTCGAAATTATACATAGTTTGTTCATGTTCTACGTTCTTTTTATTTGAAAGAGCAACACAGAGTGAGGAAGAGACAGAGAGAGAGAAACAGAGGAAGACAATTCTTCCATCTGCTGGTTCACTCTGCAAATGGCCACAACAAGCAGGCCTGTTCCACACTGAAGCTAGGAGCCAGGAACTTCATTCATGTTCCCACATGAGTGGCAGTGGCCCAGATCACTTGGGCCATCTTCCATGGCCTTCTCAGACTTTTTAGCAGGAAGCTAGTTCAGAAGTAGAGCAGCTGAGACTCAAAGCAGCACTCCTGTATGGGATGAGGGCATTGCAGGTGGTGGCTTAACCCACTGGCCTTCTGTGAACTTTTTGAAGATCCCACATGGGCGTGCATTTCAAAACAGCTTAAAATTTTTTTAGCAGATTTTAGGCATGGGCATCCGGTGCAGTGGTTGATACCATTTGGGATACCTATATCCTGTATCAGAATGCTTGAGTTTGTGTCCTGACTCTGCCTCTGATGCTAGCTTCCTGATAATGGACACGCTGGGAAACAGCAGGAGGTAGCTTAAATTCCTGGGTCCTTTCCAGCCACTTGGGGGACCTGAGTGGAAGTCCTGGCTTTAGCCTGGCCTAGGCCCAGATGTGTGGGCACTTGGAGAGTGAACCAGGAAATGGAAGATCCCTCTCTCATTTTTTTTTTTTTTTAATGATTCATTTATTTATTTGAGAGTTACACAGAGAAAGGAGAGGAGAAAGAGAGAGGTCTTCCATCCGCTGGTTCACTCCCCAGTTGGCCGCAACGGCCGTAGCTGTGCCGATCCGAAGCCAGGAGCCAGGAGCTTCTTTCAGGTCTCCCACGTGGGTGCAGGGGCCCAAGGACTCGGGCCACCTTCTGCTGCTGTCCCAGGCCATAGCAGAGAGCTGGATAGGAAGTGGAGCAGCCGGGTCTCAAACTGGCGCCCATACAGGATGCTAGCACTGCAGGTGGCGGCCTTACCCGCTATGCCACAGCGCTGGCCCCTAATGTAATCTTTTAATAAGATTTTATTTATTTACTTGAGAGGTAGAGTTATAGGGGGAGAGAGAGAGAGAGAGAGATTGGTCTTCTATCTGTTGGTTCACTCCCCATATGGCCTCAATAACTGGAGCTGAGCTGATCTGAAGCCAGGAGCTTCTTCTAGGTCTTCAGTTTGGGTGCAGGGGCCCAAGCACTTGGGCCATCTACCACTGCTTTCCCAGGCTACAAGCAGAGAGCTGGATCGGAAAAGGAACAGCTGGGATGTGAACTGGTGCCCTTATGGGATGCTGGTGCTGCAGGCAGAGGCTTAGCTCACTATGCACAGCACCGGCACCTTGCCATGCTGTTGGATGATAAAGTGCACATTCAGATTATTCAGCATGGGGTGACTTATGCTGAGCATGCACTAAGGGATAATATGTTGGACAATGTTGATTGAGAGCCATTACTCTTTCTCTCTCTCTCTCTTTCTCTCTCTCTCTCTCTCTCTTTCTTTCTTTCCTTTCTTTCTTTCTTTCTTTCTTTCTTTCTTTCTTTCTTTCTTTCTTTCTTTCTTTCTTCCTTTCTTTCCTTTCTTTCTTTCCTTTCTTTCTTTTCTTTCTTTCCTTTCTTTCCTTTCTTTCTTTCCTTTCTTTCTTTCCTTTCTTTCTTTCCTTTCTTTCTTTCCTTTCTTTCTTTCCTTTCTTTCTTTCTTTCTCTCTCTCTCTCTCTTTCTTTCTTTCTTTCTTTCCTTTCTTTCTTTCTTTCTTTCTTCCTTTCTTTCTTTCTTTCTTTCTTCCTTTCTTTCCTTTCTTTCTTTCCTTTCTTTCTTTTCTTTCTTTCCCTTTCTTTCCTTTCTTTCTTTCCATCTTCTATCCTTTCTTTCTGTCCATTCGTTCTTCCTCTCATCTTCCTATCTTCTGCCATTCTATCTTTCTTTC